GAGTCTTGACACTACTTTCGGCAAAGTCGGACACTAAATTTACCACTACGGCCCTTCCGTAAAATAGTATAAGTACAGTTCAATTCAATAGTATTAATAAATTCAGTTGTATGCAGAAAGCTGGAAGGGATTAAAGGACTACTAAGTGCAACCGTCGAAAGGTGGGTGATTGTAGTGAAGTGTTCTTCCTGCCCTGTCCGAGCCAGACCCTTATAAGACCCTGGGATAGGAACCCAGCTCTACTGATTAAAGTAAAGAACCCAAAGAAGTGAGCGGTGGTGGAGTGGCGCACAACGAAACGGGCACAAAGGAAGTGAGCGGTTATAGAAGGCCAGGGCTCACAAAGGGCTGTCGTGCCAGTGATGATGATGATCCTTATTTTGAAAAAAAAAATAAAGGTAGGATTATGCCATCACCATGCTATGTGTGTCTGTGTGCCCCCCTTATCAACTTTCGAATGCATGATGCAATCTTTATGAAACTTGGTGTGTATATCATGGCACCTGAGTCCATCTCAGTGGCGCACTTCAGATATCCCTCCCATCAGTCCGTGTGTCTATATGCGTATCCCCTACCGTTACTAGGCAATTGCTCAGTAAAAACGTTACCATGGCAACGAATACACACACAACAGTAGAAATGCTGGACGCGTCGTTTTCTATCGGGTCTGTGTCGTGTCGAGCAACGTATGCGATTAGTTCTTTTGCTTCAAAATAAGGAGAGTAAGCTAAAAATGAATTTACTGAAATAGATAACGGAGTTCAGTGTTTTTCTTTTTTTTGGTAAGAGGCCTTTTTTCCCATAGGGAAAGTCAGCAATTTAGCTTTAGTCATGGCAGATTACAGGCGTAATGATGGGGAAGTCTAGTAGTAGGGCTGCTACCGTGCTGCATATAGACATGAATGATAATTTATTAGATCATCATCTCTTCGAGCAATCCTTGGATTCGAACGGGCCAAAAGGCCCATTTCTTGTCGATCATGATCATGACGGTTGCTTTTGTGAATACGCTGTCGATTCCTTTGCAACAAGGAGTTTCCTTATCATTTCAGTTACTGTTCTTGTATGAGAATTATCGTTTGCTATATATCTACGTATTGCATTTAAGTATGACCTTCTGCTGGATTGATACCAGAAATTAAATTGCATCCTCGCCCTTCTGAACACGAATCTTTGGATTTAATGTTGTTACTACTTTATCCACCTCAACATTGACGAACATGGTAATGCTCTTTGACGAATATTTTATTGTATTAACTCTATAACATCCTTTCGTCTCTTCAGTCTTCTTCATTTCTTTATCTCTGATGATTAGCATGCTAGGCCACCATAACAGAGTTTTCACAGTGCACAAGTTGTGTCCGCCACTATTTCGTTGCTTCACAAGCGTTTGATGCATAAGTCAATCTTTGTGAGGCGTTACGGTGCAAATGATAGAGAAATGTAGGCCTATGTCACATCCTTTCGAATGTCAGTTTCTTTTTCTTCTGTATTCATAAGACTGTAATAGTAAATAAGTGTATTTTCTTTATTTCATTACATTTTCTTTTAAGAGAAGTCATGGAGAGGAATGAACCATTCACCTATTATCATATGTTATTGTGTAAATTTATGTCAGTCTCCCCGAGTTCCTGAAATGTTGGGATAAATTTCTGAGTACTTCATAGTACTATATATACAAAAGTATAAACATATACAGTTTATTCTAGTAGCACAATGAATCTTTTTAATAATATTACCAAGGTCATACAATTATGTTACTAACAAATTAATAAGATATATATAATTCAAGTTATAGTTGCTTTACATGATCTTAAACATGAGTACAGGTTAAAATTAAACATGCCTATTATTTCAGGAATACAAATACATAGGAATACATAGGAATTTACCTATGCTGTTATCCAGCGTGTTATGTATTATGAGTAGACTAGTACGTAGGCGTAAGGAAATTTTAACTGATTACAATTTCATAAGTTTCATTTCATCACTTGATATTAGTAATTTGGTGTTCCATTCGGCTGTATCCTGTAAAGAAAAACAAAAGAAAACAAAACTAACTCCGTGGCTTGAGTCCGCAAGCGAACTATACCGACCGAGCGAGGATGCAATATTATCCTTTACGGGTAGGTCACCACTCATCCTTACAACGCTTAACTCGGAGGGTTAGACTAGATTATCTTTAATTGATGTTTCGCTGTTCCCTGAGGATCCATCTGGTTGCTGTAGCAATCTCGGAACTCATGAAACGCCGTCAGCGCCTATGAACAGTCGGGGAGTTGGAAAGGAAGTAAGTGGCTTCTCAGTGCAGTCTAAACACGCCATGCAGACCTTTCCGGGAAGTGTATAAGTCAAAGATAGATCACTCATCGCTCACGTTTCATCGAATATGTCCCGTCTGGTCCCTGAGAACAAGAATACTTCCACCCACTAAAGAAAGAGAGGAAGAATGAAACTACAAATATGGTTGTATTGAAGTAATACAGTACTTTGAAATGAATGTTGTATGCACTGCTTTATAAGCGTTATGTTTAATTCCTTCAGACGTTTGTTTCCAACATTTTCATACATATACTGTAATGTATTTTTAAATGAATGGCTCTGCGCGCAGAAATGATACTCTGTTCATTGCAATGATTTCAGGCGAAGACTGGACCGAAATGTAACTCTTAAGTGAACATTTATCCATGAACCTCAAAGAACGTTCGATCTTATTTCCGATAAGTGACATCTTCATTACTAATAGATCATAATTAAAATCATTAGTTTTAAAGTTATGTACAATTATACTTCACACAGTCTTTAACCTTGTCACTTGCTCGGAATATATATATTTTCTCATTGCGTAGTTTAAATAAAAGTTTTTCAACACACGGGCGCTGATTTAGGGAGAGGCGATGTTCTGGCCACATTCAGTTATAAATAATTTCTTTAGGATATTAACACGTACAGAAAGCTCCAGTCATTTGACTTTAAAAGAGCTGGGTATCGAGTTTGTTTAATATAGACACATAAATATCTAAAAATTTGAACGACTTTCATGTCGTCTTAAATCTGTTACTTCTAATACATTCTGGTTTTCATGAATTTGGATACAGCAGTTACCTTCACGTAATCATCACTGCTCCAGTAGTTATTTTGTTGATTTGAATGGGGTTTTAAGGCGCGGAATTAAAAACCAAGAACACTTTCTTTTCCCCTAAAACATTAAGTTCTCTGTACATGTTAAGAATGTGCTATGAAGATACTAAATCCGCCCAGTATCATACATATTCACATACATTGTCAAATTTGTCCTGTAAGCATATCTATTAGATCCAGTCTGCGCCGTGTTGTAGACGGAGTCATAGCTCGATTCGACGTAAGGCCATCATCTGGTATTTGAAATCAAGTCATTATTCGGAAAGTGGTAATTTAACGACGAGTTATCGGTATCACAAGTTACATAGCGTCTAATTCTAGAATCATAGTCATTGATGAACTCGAGAGATGTGAGGGAAGGAGGCTCTTGCCTTGTTTTCTGTTACCATCCAGCATATTCCTGGAGAGACTGAGGAAAGCCTCAGTCAGGATAGCTAGTTTCAGCAGCAAGAATCAAAGGCTAGATTTCCCGAACACGAAGCAGGAGCGATAATATGTCGCCGACAAAGAAATGTTGAGATTCATGATCGTTTTCTGGTAGGTAACAATGGTAATAGTTAGCTAGATTAGTGTCTATAGATTAATAACAAATCATCATGAGGAATGAAACCTGATCGTTTGTACATAGATCGACAGTATCGATGATCATGTAGGGCTGCAGACTCGCACGAACATCTTCCGTACTGAATTTGTATCGATTATCCTAGTGTAGATAATAGTGAACCCGAGCGGCTACAGACTGTATGGACACTCCGTAATGCACGTGACGGGGAATCCCTAGCCGAAGCAACAGCTGCAGGCTCGGATAGATACTCCCTCGTAATAGATATGAGTTGATTTTTCTACAGCAATGACAGGTAACTTCAGCAGCTGCAAGCTAGGGGAACAATACTTCAAATCGAATGTTTCTTGCAGTCTGAAATCTCAACCGATATCTGCAGGTAGAATCTCAATTTTTGTGACGATGGTCTATAACACTCAGGATTATCGGATTTTTGGACTATTTCCATCGTCCAGTATTCTAAAGGAACACCAAAGAACAAAATATTTCGGATGCAAATTCATTTTCCGAAAAACTGTGTCCTGTAGAATAATGGACGATGGACGAAATCCAGAAAACCAATAATCCCGAGTAATATCTTAAGACAGGCCGCGCCATAGCTCAAGCGGTTAGACGCTGGCTTCCCACCGCGGCGGCCTGGGTTCGATCCCGGGTCTGGTCAAGTGGGATTTCTGGTGGACAGAGTGGCGCTGGGGCGGATTTTCTCCGAGTACTTCGGTGTCCCCTGCCAATCTTCATTCCACCAAATTCTCCATCATCATAATGACCCAGGGCAGGCTACAATAGGCCAATCAGTGGCCACTATGCCGGGTGGACCCAGTGGGACACCACCACCCACTCAGCGAATTAAAATATCTTAAGACTCAGATAAACACCCCTTCATGATGAATTTGAACTGCAGTCAGAAACCTTCAGTAGGTACAAGCCTGGGTACACTGTCTACCATAAGCGGTGCGATGTTTTTCTAGTCATGACAATCAGTGATCGAATTCAGTAGCTATGGATTACCACAGTTCAACGAAGTTGATTTGATTTTATCTGATTCCAGTCATCAGATGACAGTGTTACGCCGAAACCATAATGCTAATATTATTAGCATAATTAATAAATATATTTGTATGAAAAATGCTGTTGAAGCAGTTCATAATACATTCAAGAACCTGATCATTTGCCGTGCGTTCTGAACGATCTAGGGATCAGCATTTCGCATCTTGTAAACATGCTTCCATATCTCGTAAAGACAAACCGTGGACTGAAAGCGGTAGCACACTACTAGCGGCATTGATATGTGTGTGATGATGGTCCAGGCCCACACCCCATAAAATTCTGTCTGCAACGGGTGAAACTCCGCCCGGTTGTTCTTCAGTCTGTTTACCACCCACAGGGCGAGATTCACAATTAGCAGAAACGTGATCAACTGTTTTCCCGGTCTCTTCTCCATTTGTTCTTTCGTATTACATCGCCTCTTCCATGCGTCCAGCACCAGTATCGTCTGGCTCGTGCTCTGCACCAGAGCGGCTACGGGTGTTATGATCCGCATGACGGCCCAGCGGGGTGCCATATCCAGAGAGAAATACGCTCCGATGATCTGGAAAAGGATGAATAAGAAGAGGCCGGCCTGTGTCATGAAGAGGAGGATGTGTTCAAGTTCGAAACGTCGATGTCCAGGTATTCGTCCGACATTTCGAATCGCAAACAAACAGGAGATTACAGCGGCGGTGGAAGTGGCATACATCACCGTCTCCCAAACATTCACCTGCGCAGGAAAGCATGTGATAAATCTGTGAAGCTCGTGGAAACCATGACTAATCGCTGGGATCTCATGCAATGTTTCAAAGTAACAGGATGGGGACACAACACAAGTAAATATATCCTAAGGGCGTAGTGAGGATGTTGTGATGGCAGCCTAAAAAAACAAGATCTTATTTTTAGAATTTTTATTTATTTTTTTAAGATAGACCATTGTCAAAAAAACTTGCTCTGATATAGAAATCGGTCTAGAATTATGTCATAACTAGCTCTCAGGAAGAATTGATATTCATTCTGACTAAAAATTTTTATATATTTTTTTTAATTCGCTTAGTGGTGGGTGGAGTCCAACTGGGTCCACTCGGCACGGTTGCCACTGATTGGCCTATTGTAGCCTGCCCCGGGTGATTATGATGATGGAGAATTTGGTGGAATGACGATTGACAGGGGAAACCGAAGTACTCGGAGAAAACCTGTCCTAGTGCCACTTTGTCCACCACAAACCCACTTGACCAGACCCGGGATCGAACTCGGGCCGCCGCAGTGGGAAGCCAGCTACTAACCGCTTGAGCTATGGCGCGGCCTTCATTCAGACTAACAAAATTTTCCTTCTTATGGAGTCAAAGATTAGACTTGTTCATATAACTTCAACATTGTGCCTTGTTTTAAGAGAGTTAGATCAGTTCAGTGTTTTCATATCATAACAGCCTATTTATGTAAAATCAGTTTTAAATTTTTTTGTGTCTATGAGTAGATTTCTCGTTATTGAATAGGGATTTCCGGGTGAACTTTTGTATGGATTTAGTTCTTCCTTGTGTATGTTAGCCTGCATATCAGCAACACCAGTCTGTTCCAACAGTAATCTTTACAGTGGTAGGTTAAAAGTGCAAATTAGGAAGATCTTCATAAGAAGCACTCTGCTTCCCGATGTTACTTGAGCTTAGGTCCAAATATTTTCATCGACACTTTGCTTACAGTTCCTCTCAATCTACATTCTTCGTTGAGGGTCAGAGACCATGTTCCTGAGATCACTTCGCCTCGATATGTTTGCTTGTGTGCAAGTGCAGTATGCAGTGGCACATAACGGCTAAAAAGCGAAGCAACATACGGTTTCTTTTGACACATACATGTTCTCATAATGCCTAATTGGAAGAAGATTAATATTTAACTAATGATTATGAGACACCCATTCAAAGAAACGGAATAGACAAAACAAGTGAGAGGTATAGATTTAGTTCACGATTTCCTTTGGAACCAACCATACTATCGAGTTATGTGTGTCTGGTTTCCCATATATTCTCTGGATGAAGTAAGATTATGTCATTCATCGAACAGTTTCCTTGAAATTCGGTACACACATCATGTTTCTGGAGCCTTTGTCCATCTTTGGATTTGGTGCAACTCTTTGTGTTAAGCAGTATCAGTACCGCGGTCATATGAAATTGTGAGTAGGCGCTGTGTTCATCTGTGTTCAATGTGCATGCTTTGAATTCTATATGTTGGTACTTCAAAGATTGGCTTTATTTCTTACATTCTTCTTCGTTTCATCTCATCCGTTCGTACAAATAATTATTCCTTATTTGATGGCTCTAATGCTTTGGTTTGAACGTTATGAGATTGAATCTTCATATAGTATAGTGCGTTAGTTACCAAACAAAGTCGAGGGACGTGTAAAATGGCAAAGATGACACCAGGTCTTAGACTTACGCTCCACCCCATGAGGCATAGCTCCATCGATTCTTAATCCAGGCACTACATAGAGGTGAACTGAGAGGTTCACGCTGCGGATGCTTTACTCCTGATCAAACTTCCGCCGATACCTATTTAATTGCAAGGTGAGCAATCCGAGAAAGAACCTGGACACAATGTTGACAAACAGAAAAGTTTTGCTCCTGTCGGGAACCGAATTCTGGCCGTCTAATCATTAGCGAATCACAATGAAAATTATATACAGACACTTGATATAAATTGTATAGATGATATTGTTTCGTAAATGTGATAATCCATAGATAGGCGTCACTTGTTGCTAGGATTGGAATACGAAGGCTGTGTACAGATGTTTAACAGTAAAACATATTTGATACTATTGTTGTCAGTGGAAAGTTAGTTTCATTTTTCAGAAGGCCGTGCCATAGTTCATGCGGTTAGTCGCCAGATTCCCACAGCTGCGGCCGGGTTCGATCCCAGGTCAGGTTATATGGGATTTTTGGTGGACAAAGTGGCACTCTAGCAGGTTTCTTTCGAGTACTTTGGTTTCCCCTACCAATTCTAATTCCACTGACTGCTCCATACTCAACACCTATCATCCGGGGCTGGTACAATACTTCAATTTAGTGATCGACGTTCCAAGTGGACTCAGTCTCATCCCACCCCACGAAATTGATTAAATTTCTTTTTCAGAAATGGATTTCCCTTTGTTTTGTTTAACCGCGTTTTCTTAGATTTCATAGCGCTCAGCAGCAGAGAGACTGTGAATAGTGAATCGGTCGGGACGTGGTAGTTGCCAGGTTCTATTCCGGTTTCTGTCTGAAGACCTGAAGGACTTACCTGCAGGACAGCCTCGTCGACAAACTGGGGACGCTGAACGAGCTCAAAGAACATAATGAGACTCACGATGGACAGTACCAGCATCAGGATCCCTGCGAAGAGTCCTTTGTGTGCGCTGGTGCAGTCCACAGAGAAGTGACTGACAGACCGCGTGTAGATGATGTTAACACCACTGACACGGCCGGGTATACTGTCGGGCGACAGTTGGTCACAGTGCTGCTGCTGCTGCTGCTGCTGCTGTTGTTGGGTCTTGGTGTCAGAGCAAGCGTTCATCCACATGACGCCCAGGATGACAGCACAGAGAAGACTGTACTCCACAGTGCAGGGAAATAGGAACCTGCTGGCACTGCGCACCAAGGGCGCCATAATATTGGACTTCCAGCAATCTGGTTCGATGTTTGGGATGTACGTTCTGGAGATCCCGTGCCCCGACACGTTTATTGCTAGACAAAAAGAAACGGTGTCATAATGCCTAGGCTGCTGCTCGAACATACAAGTTTCTGTCTGCTTAGGAATATTTTAGATTTTCTGCCAAGAGAGTGATTCAACCATAGTAGGAGGAGAACGTGGAGAAAGAAGAGAGGAGGAAGAAGAAGGAAGCAACTTTAGGTCAGTAAATGAAGAAGAGGAAAATACCATGGGTGAAGACAGGTGGTCAAAGATGATAGGACGGAATTATAAACTTACGAAGTCAGAAATGAGAGCAGAATTAAGGAAATACTGGGAAGAGGATTGTTAGTTCAGTTTAGGAATTAAACTGTTAAACTCATGAGATAATGTCAGATTTGAGGTTTTCACGGCGGTGACTATGAAGAATGCTGTTTTCTGTGATGTGGCGTCGTGTAGATCTTGTGTGAAATACGTGATAAAGTTGATATCTGTGTTATAGTTGAAGGGATTAGCAGATGTGCGGAGACATGGAAAATTTAATTAAATGGAATGGGTCACGATAAGCCCCCATCTATAGCATGGTATTGTAAACTGACAGGGTAAAGTGTAAGAGGACGGAGTAGGAGACACTGAGTCCAGTACAGATATTACGTTGCCTTGTTCATGACAGCAAGAAGAGTTGATGAACTTTAAGTTAAGAAAGTATGAAGCTCTTATGGCACATGTTAATTAATGTTAGTCTCAGAATTTGTTTTGGGGTACTTGGGAAAACCCTGGCACACGTTAACAAGAATGTCCTTGTCTAGGCCGAGGTGGAGTCAGTGGTTACTCACCATGGTGCTGCTTTGTGGTGCTGTTCAGCACCTGCAAGATGTCATATTTGGTCTCTTCGACCACCACGTATAGCCATTCGCAAAGATTCGTGGCTATCATGTGCATCAGGCCGAACCGTGCCACCACTCTGTAGCTATACTCCTCCACCAACTGTAATATACAGGCTTCCTTCAGAACCTATTCTTCACCCATCTGGTAACAGATCGCCTAAATGCTTATCATTGTCTTCATAAACATTCGCCACCGCTCTTTACCTGGAGCTACCTGAATTTGGTTCACACCTTCATGCCCAATTTCACTAAGATGCGTGTTAATAGGCCTATCATGTATGCCTAGGTCTGCAGAGTTATATCTGTCCTTCCTCAATATTTGGTATAACTTTCTTTTTTCTCCTTTGTGCATCACATATGCTACAATCACCATCATCCTTATTTTGTCCATCCTCAGAATATTGAAGGAAGAAAGAGATTATTACGCAATTTATTACGAAAATATTACTGTTTTAGAACTAGAGACGTTTCAGATTTCCATGCCAATTTAGCAGTTAAATAATTTTTATTTAACCGGAATACTTCATTCGGTATAGCGACGAGCTACGGGGTGGGCGGCCGGAGTTCGATTCCCGGCAGGGAAAGGAGATTTTTCTCTACGCCACGCTGTCCAGACCGGCTCTGAGGCCCACCCAGCCTTCTATTCAATGGATACTTATCACTCACCTCCATTTAGTACGAAGGTTAGGAGTGGTGGAGATATGCCTCCGCTCCCCCATACGTCTTCATGGCATGATCCTTAATTTAATTAACCACAGGGTCGACTTTACGATTTACCTTTACCATTATTGTTCTTTCTATTTCTCTGTCCATTTTGGTGGTTTAATAGAATGATTGATCACTTTGTCGGGAAAGAGACAAAGGGTGCTGGGGACCGGTCTCAGTATTCTTCAGAAATGATAGGCGGAGCAAAGTTGTAAACTTTGGAGCCTTGGAAGATGGGTGTATCTGACTAATTATTGTTTCTCTGGCGTGTCGTGCAGCAAAATCTACACTAATTTGAGGAAAATTTTCTGTTGTTCCTGATCTCATATGCATCATATTAGTGGCCTTTAGAACGTGTTTCCTTACTGTGGTTTATTAACATGACGATTATGATAAATGTATTCATTATCGTCACTGTCATTTTTTTTTTCTATGGGGTAAAGAAAAGCGGCCTCCGTAGTCTAGGGGTAACGTTCCCACCTCATGAAGTACGCGGGTTCAAACCCGGCGGAGGTCGTAGAATTTTTAAGGGCGGAAAAATTCAGGGAACAAGTCCTCCGGGAGGGACTTTAAGCCGTGGGTCCAGTGTCGTAGACTNCCCCCTCTAATAATAATAATAATAATAATAATAATAATGGGGTAAAGAGTGGGCAAGAAATTCATTTGGAATCGAACTCATGCATATAACAACAGATTTAACAAATTATTCGAATGTTCCTTCCTAAAAAATTATTTTCTTTTACACATATCCACTATGATTATTAGTTTTCGAGAACAGAAGAACATTCCGAATCGTGTATACGGAGGGGCCTCAAAAAATGTATACCCACTTCAACGCACAAAATATCTGCTGAAATAATTTATTGATATACCTTAGGTTCGACTTCGAAAACGTCCGCAGATAAAAGCTATCTCTGTAACAGGCCGTGAAGCCCCATAGGGATGTGAGACGTCGAGGCTCCCACTTTTTCTCTAGACGATCGGCTCACAGATGGCGGTAAGGTTGTTAAGCTTACATGCCGGCCGCTCTTTACCCCCAGGAAAACTCCTGGTAGTCATTTCTGTTAAAGGCTGAGTCGACCCCAGGGCCATATTGCGGCTGGAAGGATTAGGTAAATTGAAAAAAATCCACCTCATGGGAACTCGAACCCACCGCGTGCCTCAGCGTCCGTAGGGAACATCTATTAAAGTGTGCTATGGAGGCTATCTGTGGACATTTTCGAACTTTAGCCGAAGGTGTGTCAATAAATTTTGTAAGCAGATATTTTGTGCGTTGAAGTGGGTATACATTTTCTGGGCCTCTCTGTAAATACATATAATATACACACATATGAATTTTTTGCAGTTGGAATATATGTATAAAGATTACGCTATTTCTCCGATTTTAATACCACATAAATGTGTTAATTTTTATATCGTACGTTCTTAGAGATACCAGTAATAGCTGCTCATGTGTTTGTAGGCTGTTATTTGTAGGTCTCCTGTACACTTTACCGGACCTGGGAGAGTCTGCTGCTGTTTTGCAACTCCATGAATCAGAAAATATGGAACCACTTGTATAGAATACTAAGCCCTTACCGGATTAAAATACGCTCTTTTTCCTTTTGGTGGTTACTGAAGTGAAACAGATTCGAAAATTTTTATTTTTGAGTTTTTAACGCTGATGAATGTTCTCTGAGTTGTCTGCCGGAATATCGCAATGTAAGCGTATAAGAATACCGTCGTCGTTTCGGCGGAACCTTCAGAGGCTATGTGATAGGACATTTATGTGTGTGTGTGTGTGTGTGTGTGGAGGGGACGGGGCGCGCGTGCTCGCTCACTCGTTTTTTTTTTTAATAGAACCATTTGGTTAGCTTCACGATTTTGTGATCTGTCCAGAGAAAGCAATGCCCATCTCGTGATTGGTCAGAGTTTCTAGCTGAACAGCAGGTGAAAAGCCGTGTAAAATTCTTGTGGTCGTACATGTAGAACAGGGTTCTCCAAACTTTTCGAACCGCGGGCCGCATTAGGTAATTCAGCACTTTCACCGGGCCGGATAAAACGAGAAATTAATAACTCTAGGTATATGAGTTTTATTGAAAGCACAGAATTTTATAAATTAAATACAAAGTACATGAGAATAAATTATCGTATGTTAATGACAACAGACAGTAGCAGCAAATGCACATATTTTCGTCACAAATTATAAAAAATATTTAATGTGAATGATGGAACTCTTTTTGCATTTTTAAAATCTGATTAAATTGAGGTTCAAATTTTGAAAGGCTAATCACATGTAGCGACTTTAAATGTTCATCGGATAAATTTGCCCCGTATTTCAACTTGATGCACTTCATGTGGGAAAAAGTTTGTTCACACAGATATGTCGTCCCAAAAATGGAGATAAATGTACAAGCAAATTTCTTTAAATTTGGAAATTGATCAGAGTTCAGAAATTTATAAAATTCGATCAAATTTCCTTCCTTGTATTTGTCTTTAATATGATAATTTTCCTGAAGTTCAATGATTTCCATTTGAATTTGACTTGGGACATCTGGAGCATCACAGCCAAACGGATTTTGAAACAATCTAATTTCCTGAGCACTGGAATCCAAATCAGCAAATCGCTTCCGAAATTGTTCTTTCAAATCTGAAATGACTAAATTTGCAAACGAGGAAGGAAACTCTGCTTCACCCTTTTTATGCAACTCTGCACAGAATAGCATATGAACAAAGTTACAATTTTTCACTTGGCTTTCCAGAAGTATCAACTTTGCTCTGAATGCCTTGATAAGTGCAAATAAATCACAGACTAAGTTATTTTCACCCTGCAACTTTAAATTCAAATGGTTCATATGGTTCACCAGATCAGCAAAACATGCTAATTTCCAAAGCCACTCGGTATCTGATAAAAGTGGTTCGTGATGGTTTTTCTCGGTAACAAATATATTAATTTCATTCCTGAGCAGAAAGAAGCGCGAAAGAACCTTTCCAAAGCTAAGCCATGGAACTGCAGTATAATATGTCAGGTCAATAAGCTCGGAATCACATTTACCAGTGCATTTCTGCATAATTCTTTCGCGGGCCGGATAAAATCACATCGCGGGCCGTAGTTTGGAGACCCTAGATCTAGACAGTGTTGCTGCCTACATATGCAGTATGTTATCTATGGAACTTTGTCCCAGACCTTGTTCTCTAGACATACCTTGTTGTTGTCGGAGAATATGAATATCATCTGCATGATGACAAATGCGGCCTGCGTCAGAGGCGTGATGGCGACCAGGATGTCGTCACACTTTGACGTGCTGCGCAGCTCGAAGTACATGCCGAAATGCAACACGGCGTGAATCATGGCGCCCACACCGAAACCTGCAGACGATCCCGTAGTGTTATCTTCCAGTGCCTACCATCCCGGCAACTTCTGAACCAGTTCACGAAAGTTCGTGAAGTTTTTTCTTTTTATAAATTCGTTTAGTGGGGGGATGGAGTCCAACTGGGTCCACTCGGCACGGCGGCCACTGATTGGCCTATTGTAGCCTGCCCCGGGTGATTATGATGGAGAATTTGGTGGAATGAAGATTGGCAAGGGAAGCCGAAATACTCGGAGAAAACTCGCCCCAGCCGCACTTTGTCCACCACAAATCCCACTTGACAAGACCCCGGGATCGAACCCGGGCCGCCGCGGTGGGAAGCCAGCGACTAACCGCTTGAGCTATGGTGTGGCCTTAGCATAGCTCAGTTAGTAAATTGGCTGGTACCCACTCGACGGCAGGGGGCCGAGTCGTCATAGTGATTTTTGACGTGCTTAGAACGAAAAATGGCAAAAATGCCTTTATTAGCTTCATCATGCCCATTTGTATGTCCTTCTCTCTGTCCACATACAACAAGTCGAGAACAAATGAACGGATTTTCACATATGATATTTGGTATTTGGTATTATTAACACTGTCGACACATTCAATTCTTGTTTAAGTCGGACTGCAGCGGACATTTTAAGCTAGGACCGAGATGCCTTTCTTCTCGTTTCTCGTGCATATCTCGCGAACAGTTCGTTAAGTATTTATCAGAGCGAAGACTATTTTGAACAAAATTTGCATAGACAATTGGGATACATATTTTTCTAGTGTATGTTTGCCGCAAGGTTACGATTTCTGGGATTAATTAGAATGAATCAATCGTGCCAGAATAGTTATTCTGTGTTCATATTTCGTAAATTGTCTTAACATTGCTATGTCCAGACTGGTTCTTAAGTGCATCCAGCATAGTATCCTGTAGGTGTCGAGGGTCGTGTGATCGGATCTAGAAGGTGACCCCTGACCTCAATCCAGTGTCAGTATGTAAAATATATAGATTTTTTTATCTGTAGCCTCCTTTGTTTCTATTGCATGGTGCTTAGATACCGTGGCACGTTTCGGTTACGACTATATGGAGATATGTTCGACTGGATTATGTTAATCTGCAAGGAAAATATACGTAACCAACATGGCAACTCTCATGGATTTTGAAACGTCGAGACATGCTAAATAATTGCAAAGCAATGTTAAATTCGTGCGGAGAAATCTATAAGCACAGGTGGTATTATTATTTGTTTTCCTTGGCACTACAGTCCCAGTGGGCCTAGGCCTACCTCCATGAACTTCTCCGTTCACTTCGGTTTTTCTAGATCTTACACATTCAGTAGGACTCCTTGGGCGGGTGATCAGCTCGTCGCAAGGCCTCTACCTGTACACAGACACAGAAAAACGCACACACACAAACCAAACATCCATGTCCTGAGTGGGATTCGAACCCACGATCCCGGTTTCCAAGCGAGCGAAGACAGTACATGCCTTAGACCGCTCGGCGGTGGTATTATTAGTAGTTCTAAATTAAATAGTTTCAAATCGCTTCTGATTCCTGAAAATACATCACGGCTTTGACGAATGCTTTTGATGCTCCTTCTCTTTTAATTTCTACGCGACCTCAGCAAACAAATTCTACCGCTATTGAATGGTACGACAGAAAATCCGAGTCTTGTATACTGAAACGAAATTTACGAAAGTACATAAGCCTATATGGAAGTAGAGTAAAGTTAATGCTGCACTGGCCTTCCTCTGAACACTATTTGTGAACATCCTAAAAATCGTGGTTTACGAAATGTATCTCGGTTAACATCAGTCAAGAAGTCGATAAGGCGAGGCAGTATAAGAACACCGACAGTTTAAGTACATCCTTCGGCCAGTAGTTGGCGATAAGTTCTGGTAAGTCGCATTCAAAATTCCGTGACTTCTTTGTTACAGAAGTCGGTTCCTTGTAAACTAGTTTATTCCTTGCTGCAGATGACAAACAAGTGCACAGAATTACTGGGGTTTTGGACTGTTTCCATCGTCCGATATTCTAGAGGATAATTGAGGAGATATTTCAAGGATATAGCGTCTCCGGTCTAGAAAACCGAGATTAACGGCCGTGGGAATCCGTTGCGATGACCACATGACACCCTCTGTCCGCAAAAGTTGGCACTAACTTCGCCGATAAGCGGCGGTCGCTCGATCGGTATAGTTCGCTTGCGGACTACAGGCTACGGAGTTTTTTTGTGTTCTAGAAGATAGAAAACACGACGTTTCGGAAACTGGATCCATTTCCTTCCTCAGGTGAGGGGGCAGACACCTATTCAGTTGGGCCCCTTATAAGAGCTAATCTCAGTTTCTGGACCAGCTCTTTCTAAGGGGCCCAACTGAATAGGTGTCTACCCCCTCACTCGAGGGCGGAAATAGATCCAGTTTCTGAAAAGTCGTTCTTTCTGTTTTCTAGAATGCCGGACGATGAAAATAATCCAAAAACCCAGTAATTCTGTGTATTATGCACCATCATCAGAACCCTTTAGAATCTACAAACAAGTAGTATAAATACCATCACTTACCAGCGACTCCCATTCTCAGGTAGAAGCTGCCGTATCGTACCTGCTGCTCCTGATTCGTTCCAGCTCCCTTCAGTCGTTCTGTAGAGCAGAAGGAGTTCATTAAGTACCTGTGTTGTTGCCTCAAAATGCGATCCATATACATAACCTGAAATATTCTGCCATAGTTTTTAATCAGCTTTATGTCACTGCATACATAAGTTAGACAAGTCACAATAGCTACTTCTTGGTCTAAGTGGCCTTCCGTGCGAACGGTCTGTGGTTCGAATCCAACGCTTCTTATCATTGCCTCCCTTAATTTTGACCAAACCAAAGAATTTTGTGTATGTGAGGTATATCCGTGGTTCGAATCCATGTTAAGTCAGAAGTGGAATTTACTTGTACATTCCTACTTGCAAGGCGGACAGAGACCAGATTGGTAGCCCACAGCCGTAAGTCGCGACACAACACGTTACAAGAGGACATAACGCCGTGTAATCCGTTGAAAGTCAACTGACATTTCGGACGAGCGCGTCGCCTTCATCTTCAGGATCGAAGAATAAGCCGAGTAGAGTTTGCCACCTGCTTTCACGCTGGTGTCTTGTTCGGCTTATGCTTCGACCCTGAAGATGGATGCGACATGTTCTTCTTGAAACGTCGGAGGACTTTGAACGGTCTACGTGGCGTTATATCATAACCACCGCTTTGAGAATCTCGAATTCTAGAACAATGGAATGATTCTTCCATTTTAGAGGCACACAAAATTTCTGCGACTTTTTATAGTTCATTTTTTCTTATGTTTATTCCTTGCAGGAATTCTTTTATAATGATAATCTGCAGGACGAAGTAAAATTTCGCTCTTTGAAAAGATAACCAGAATAGATAAGCATGTGCCGCCTTGATTTAAATAATTTTTGTATTTCGTTATCCAACATGTTTCAAGTGGGCCCAGTAGATATAAACCATAAATATATAAATACAAATTTAGCACACAGCTAATTGTGTTAGACAAAATTCTTTCATTGATGTTTCTGTTACTTGTATGAATACAAGGCGCAGTTAGTTTTTAGGACATATTTACAAATAAATTCGAATCATAACCGGGAACTAGAATTCTCTCTTTCTGTTTAGCTGTACAGCCCTTTGGATCTTGGTAGCTTTTTTTCATTTTCTTAATCCTATACAAAGTCGGCAAGACTCATTAGACGGAGGATCAGCACGTCGCAGGGTCGCTACCTACACACAAAACAACACAAACACAGAATAGATGCACACAGACATCCATGCCTCTAATTCGAACCCACGACCCCGCTGTTCGAGAGGACGAAAACCGTCCATGCCTTAGACCGCGCGGCCACTGTGATGGACTTTAGAATTCTCAGAATATGATAAAGGAGCTTGATGATGAAACATAGGGGAAGAAATGTTGTTTTCATTTTTCTTTACATTGACTTTCCATATGAAAGTTTTCTCGGATCTTATTGAAATAACTCACTGTTGGACATCTCGAAGGCTGACGTCTTCCTGCTGACACTTAGGACAACTTCCTCCTTCATGACGCCTGCATACATGTAACATAGGAACAGGAGGCTCCCCAGATACAAGTAAAGGTAGAAGCCCTGAAACCAGAGGTTAAACAGGAATTGGTTGCATATTTCCCCCAGATGCTTCAGCCGTATGAAAGGAGGTTACAAAGCTATTATTACTTAAACACGGCCATCTATTAGGAGCAAGAAGGAATGGAAGTCGCTTTATGAGAGACAGTTACAGTAATATCAGTCCTACTTATTGCTCAGATATGGTCCTTTATCGGAAATGATAAGAAACATAGTTACGCTAATAACATAGTGGCCTCCGTAGTCTAGAGGTAACGTCCCCACCTCATGACTCGTAGTACGCGGGTTCAAATACCCGGCGGAGGTCGTCGAATTTTTAAGGGCGGAAAAATTCGGGGAACAAGTCCTCCGGGAGGGACTTTAAGCCGTGGGTCCCGTGTCGTAGCTTTACGGCACGTAAAAGAACCTCATATCTCCAAAGGAGGTCACTGAGCCGAATTACCGGACGTTTCCCGCCCAACAGCAGTCTCTAATACCTCTGGTAGATGGGGAAAGCACTATAGATACCTCTCAGCTAGTAGAGCCGGTCTCGCTGGCTGGGCGGGACTGATGGTAAGCACCAGTACCGGTAGGATATAGTGACTGGTAGAAATCATAGAGGGCAGCACAATGGACCAATAGAGGTCTCAGTGCATGGGGAAAGCCACCTTCTCCAATAACTAACTAACTACACTAATAACATTACTTATTACTAGAGAACATAGCTTGACCTTTTGATAGATGATTATAGTAGCGTTACTTATTACTTAATCAAGGTCATGTGCCAGAAGTAAGAAAAAATACAGTTCAGAATTTGTCACTGGACCATATTCTGAGTCATATGTCGAGTGGAATTAGCTGGCTCAGCGGCATGCTGTTGCTTAGACGTTAACGAAACTTAAGATTTAATAAAAGCTGTAAATTTCTTGAATTGCTGAGCGGCTGTGATCTTTCTCAAGAATTACACAATCCGTGGAGTTCGCTGTATCAGATGAAGAAGCAGAGATCGAAGTTATATATGATAATTAAACTAATACGACTAGAGAGAGAGAGAGAGAGAGAGAGTCAGTAAATAGTTCACAAATGGAAGTAAAACGGCTGTAATGGACGTAATAGTTTTCCTATGTGTACCAGTATGTAGCAGCACAGTCTAGGTAACAGACGTGCATGCGCATGTTCAGATGCTGGTTTCAGTAGTCAAAATGGCAATCGAACTTGAGATGTATGCTACCGAAGAACATCGTTGTGTTGTGCTTTTGTTGTGGGCAAAAGGACTGTTTGCGATGGGAAGTGTTTGTCGAATAAAGCGGTTCGCAACTGGATCGAGAAATTCTCTCATGGGTTCCGAAAGTGACAGACCATGCCCTATGTGGTGCCGAAGTGGCTGAGACGATAGTCAAAAGACTAATGTGCCACGGATTTCGACGCACTGGTAAAGGGATGAGACAAGTGTATCAATGTTAATGGAGGATATGTAGAGAAATAAATGCCTCTTCCAGGGTCGAATATCCCACGTTTTACGTTTTATATCCGTTTGTGACCTGTTACTGACTCTCCGTCGTACTTCTTAAATGAGGCCTTGGACAAGCAGTAAGTTCGAACATAGGCTATCCTTATATATGGTATAGTCACCGTAGTACTCAAAAAACGTTCCTGAATCGAAAATAAGATAAAATTAATGTTAGTTATAAAGAGCAGTTATAAAAATGNGACTATGAAGAAAGCAGTCTTCTGGGATTTGGCACCGTGTATATGTGGTGTTAACCGACGTTTCGGAGGTAAAAGCAGACTAGTCTGCTTTTACCGGTTCTCACGGTCTCTTCGCTTGCAGAGTTCTTATATTTTTTCTTCTACCCTGAAGATGGAGGCGATACGTTCCTCCGAAACGTCGGTTAACACCACATATACACGGTGCCAAATCCCAGAAGACTGCTTTCTTCATAGTCACCGCCGTGGAAGCCTCAAATCTTATAAAAATGTTTGTCCGAAGATGGAAATGTATCCAGTGTATGGGTATAATTTACGTGGTAAATGTTGGCATGTCCGTTTAAAACAATTACGTGGGGACAGCCATGTGAATTTATACTCACGTCATATGTTGTTGCTGTGCTCTCTGGGATGATGGCCGCTGTGACCGGCAGAGCCAACCCCAGTACAACCAGGAGCTTGCCGTAGAAAGCTGACAGAGTCGTTGTCAGGATGTCGCTGCAACATGCGTTACAATAGGCACCGTTAATGCTCAAGAGGCTGAGACATCAGTTCTCGATTTTTTTTATGCTTATTACCCCTGAAAGAGGCAAGCAAATGTCTCTACTCCAAGCAAAAAAAAAAAAAAAAAGGAAAATGCTTTTTAATGCTCTTACAGTGTAAATTGACAGCGATGACCTATATATCTATCGTATGTTTGCGTTGCGAATACTAAAAATACGAATGAAGATTTATGTTACGCATAGCAACTTGCTTTGATTCCTCTAGATGTATTGGTGCCACAGTTTGAGGAACGTTTCCTTAAGCTTTATAGTATGGATCTGTGTCAGGCGTTTACGAGGATTTTAGGGGCCACTTCCTTTACTGGAAAATGCTGTCTGGAATTCCCTCCATTCTAGTCTTATGGTCCAAAGGCTTACAATAGTCGACTGAGTAAGATGTGCAACCCCAATTTTGAAACGCATATTCACTTTACCTTATTTTTTCTTTGGATATTTCAACCTTTGCCACTGCTATGTCCAGTACAGACTCGGGGCTTACTTAGACTCCTATCCAGTGGGTAACGGGTACACTTTCCACGAAAGTATAGCGGGTAGAACATGAAGTTGACCGTCTAAAACATGTAGAGATATACCTCCACACTTCCACCTTTCTTTAAGGCAGTGTTACAAACTACGGGAATAACTGTAGATCTGCGCTAATTTCTGAAGAATAAATCAAGAAAGAAAAGAGTATTGCGAATTTTTTTGGCTATACGTCATGTAGAGAGAGAAGTTGGGAAACGTAGGCGAGGATGGAAGGGCAAAATTGAAATGGACGTGAATGAAATTGGATGTGAAAATGTGAACTCAGTTGAACTGACACAAGCAAAATAAAATATTTCCAAATATCTTAATTTTTTGTAAGTTTTGAGGTTTTCACGGCGATGACTATGAAGAAAGTCGTCTTCTGGGTTTAGGCGCCGTGTAATCTTCGTTTTGGCCGACGTTTCGGAGGAACGTATCGCCTCCATCTTCAGAGCAGTTGAATGGCTTGGAATGCAGAGAGCAGTAGCTGTAGTGATAGGAAGTGCAGTAGCTGTGCAGCTACTCCTCCGAAACGTCGGCCAAAACGAAGATTACACGGCGCCTAAACCCAGAAGACGACTTTCTTCATCTTAATTTTTTGTTATCCCATCGTAATGACCACTCTGAATTTTAGCTTCTCAATCAACAGAATGAATAAGCATCAGTTTGTTCTCTTCACCTGATATTATTAGGGCTACAAAATCAGGGAGGGTATGATGGGCGAGAAATGTAACAGAAATTGGGAAGTGGAGAAGTGTTTGCAAATGTTTAGTAAAAAATCGTGAGGTGAGACATCTCTTGGCAGAAATAAATATATGGGAAGTTAATGATGATTTATGTTAGAGAAACAGAATATCTGCAAGATAAGTCCGTTTGTCGGGGTTTGTGAAATTTAATTTAATGTAGTTATTGTGTTTTTGGACATTATCCATCGTCCTGTTTTTACCTGAAGACGGAGACAGAATCCAGTCTCTGAAATTTTGTGTTAAATAAAAAACAGGAGGAGAGTCGAATTTCCAGAAACACAATAATTGTATTAATATGTCATCGTCACGAACTTTTAGATCTTAGTTTAATGGACAATCGGATTTCATAATAGAAAAGAATTTCCTGAGCAGCTGAGGAACTGTCAAATTTCAAGGAAAATATTACACCACGTATTTCGATTATTAATTAGCTTGTTGTTCTGCTGGTTGGCTGGTTGGTTGGCCTGTTAATGGGTTAGTTAGCTTGGTGGTTGGTTAGTCTGAATAACGATACACTGCTTATGGGGGAAGGCATGTACTCTGATCTGTTTGTCCAACTTTTCTTCCTGCTCCGTTCTACAAGCAAGTGTGGCGGCGGTTGATGCTGGTCCTTGGCGACCTTTTCTGGCTCTTCCTGGAGGGTCGCCAGCCGCGTTTCTCTCGCAGACACGTACGGCCTGAAAGAGAATGAAATTATTATCTCATATTTCGCAACCCCCAATAATCCATTAATTGTGGATGTTGATTAATTCTTAGATTATGTTAGCTGGTGGATTGCGTATGATTGATTAGCGTAGTGATTATGTATGATGAATCGAAAAGAAAATGTCCAAGGACGCGGACAAACTTTTAAAGTAATACCTCACAGATACCCGTGCGTACTGAGGAAGACCACTCAGAACATCGATAGGATACCCGGTCTTCAGACTCATATTCGAACACGGGACCTGTCAGAATACGTAACAGGAATGATAATTATTTGCCCACTAATTCTGGTTATAAGTGATTTGTATGAAGGTAGTCGTGGCCAGTCATTCGCCCAGAGGCTGAAGACTACGAAAACACACTTTGAGGATAGCCAGTAGCTAGATCTAGATTCCAAGGACATATCTTTGGAATATAACTCTAGAGCGTAACCGCTACTCTTGCAGAGGGGCTCAAAAATGTATATATACTTCCGTGTACAAAATACTTGCTTAACTAATTTATTGGTAATCAAAGTTTTATACACACATAAGTGGGTGGCTTCTACACATACCAAACTGCAACAAGTGTTCAAATTGCCCACCATTAGCTTCTAGACACTTCTGAGTTCGGCGGACTAGAGCACGAGAAACAGTGACCGAAGTGTCCACTCGGATGACAGCACACGACTTTTCAATTTCTTCCCGTGCAGTCTCTACTGTCAGTGGTTTTCTGCCATGTACCGCATGCAGCAGGAACCCCCACTAGTAAAAGTCAATCAGGCGAGGGTTGGGAATACTCAACACTGCCTCTTCGTCTTATCCATTGATCTGGTAGGGTTTCATCAAGGTTATCTTCAAGACGTTTCGGTGGTGATGTGGTGGTGCTCCATCTCATTGAAAGTAAAATAACGCATTCCCATAGAACTGATGAATGACAGGTAAAATGGGTGTCCAAAGCACGTGATGGTGTGAGCCATAGCAGAAGAGGCTGGACTCGTTGCTGTGCAAGGCCTCCAGAATCTTTGCTTGTACGCATTATTTATGTACCATCAGTCTCAGCTTTGTCACGAATGCATGCAGTTGTTAATCGCGTTGAAGATTCCGTTGCAAATTCATGCATTCACTCTCTTTGTGCTTGGGATTCTTTAACGACAACCTTTCCGCCGCCACTGTCCTGTCATTCGATAAGGGGGCTCTTCCATTCATGTGACCAGATCCATCTTTTGAGAGAATATCACGCTACACACCGTACATTACATTTCAGATCAACTTTGAAGATATCCATAGATAACCACTATTAAATTGTTTATACATTTTTTGGGCCCCTCTGTGTGTTGTTGATGCTGATGTCGGATATGATTCAGTATAAAAATCACTAAAACTCAGTTTATTCGGTGGGAGACCCCAGTTGTAATTGAATGACGCGTCACCTATGCACAATGTAGTCAAGCCGGACTGAGATATATAAGTTGAATTCTGTACTTCGGAAGTAGAGTGAAAATTCAGTAGCATCCACATTGGAAGAATATATTTTGTTGTCATTTGTGGCAGTATATGCGGTAAAGCGGGAGCGATAGTGTGGAAAGCAGAAGAAGTGGAGGTGAGCTATTACAGTAAATTGCTTTGGATATATTAATTTACTAAATGAACTAATATTTACCTGAGTGGTTGGCAGAATTCCCTCCGAATGGATAAAGAAATCTATAAGCGACTAATTTTTCTGGTTTGTTCACTAATATGAAAGAATCTTACCTGTATGAGGCAAGCTACGTATATGTTCCCGTGAAAGACAACGGCAATGTTGAGATTCGTAATGACACGCAGAACTTACAAAGATATGCAGCTATTATGAAACAACAACCACCACGGAAAATCATACCAGAGACTTGTCGAGAAAATCATACAGTGCTGAAAAGGATTTCATAATAGAAGGATAACTATTTTTGTTGTTTTACTTCTTGTGTATACTTTTTTATCCTGTGTGGAAAATAAGCTGCACATAACGAAGTTTTAAAGTTATAGTTTTATGAGGTATAATGTCGCAGAGATTGCTGAATATACAGATATTAAACAGGGAGATCTGAGCAAAACTCATAAAGGCTGAATTCATATTGCATGAATTTCTAGTCCTACAGACCTATAAATATTATTATTGTCATTTTATTTCAGTTATGTGAAGAACTTATTGCTGAAGCTTATATTCTCTCTACGTTATATCTGCCGAATACAAGGGGTGGACAAAATAAAATAAACATTAACAATGTATATGAGACAAATTCCGTCTTAAGTGCAACAATTTAATTGTAGTTCTTTTTTCTTCCCTTCCTCTACACTACATGTTTCGGCTCTAAATGGCCATCATCAGGTGTGTATTCTTACGTAGCTGCTACACTGCCCGTAGTTTAAAATTTAAAATCACCAGTCTTTCCAATTGTATGTATGTATAAAATATTTGTTAACCTACACGCGTCAATTTGATTTCTAAAATTGGCACTTTTTAAAACTTCAATTCAAATTAAAATGTCTTTAAATTTTCC